GATATTTCTCTCTCTCTCCCTTCCCCTCTCTCAACAAATCAATGAACAGGTAAGGATTAAAAAGTATATTATGGTGAAGGTTTTCTTATTTCTTATAGATTGCCCTCATAATAAAATTATTTTTTAAATTTTAAAAATAGGGGCAGAGGTTACAGATCTCCCACCAAGTATGTGTTCAGCAGTCTGGTGTGACGGCGCTACAAAGATGATGGTGACCTGGGACTTGAACAAAAATGTTAGAACGTACCATGTAAATAAAAGAGCTATTGAACACACCCCATGAGCTAAGAGCAAAGCAAGGAGGGTGACAAAGAGAAAATGGTGGCCTTTCTGCTCAGGCCTGCTCTTCCAAAGAGCCCAAATTCCGCACTGAGCGACGCAGATCCAGGCAGCTGGTGTGTGAGGCAGTGTTGCTGCTTGGGAAAGAAGAGAAAGTAAGATATTTCTCTACATGGGTTTGATTACCGAAACTAATAAAGTATTCTTTTTAAAAAAAATAAAAATATTTTATTGTTTTTTTACAGAGAGGAAGAGAGAGGGATAGAGAGTCAGAAACATTGATCAGCTGCCTCCTGCACACACCCCACCGGGGACATGCCCGCAACCAATGTACATGCCCTTGACTGGAATGGAACCTGGGACCCTCCAGTCCGCAGGCCGACGCTCTATCCACTGAGCCAAACTGGTTTCGGCTAATAAAGTATTCTTTAAAAAAAAAAAAAAAAGAAAGAAAAGAAATTTCTCATGGGTGCATCCTCTGACTCATTAGGACATTTTAGCTCACGAGGCCATGCCTCCTTTCCTAGGGTTTCCTTTCCTAGGGTCACATGAAAATGAGCAGCGGGTGGGTCATCAGGAGAGGGCTCTCCAGGCAGAGGAAAGTTCCTTCAAAGGAAGCGCGTGGGCAGTGGTGTGGGGACACCCCCCCCCCCCCCCCACGCACACACACTGCCTGGGTAACCTCTCTATATATACAGAGCTGCCCTGGCCGCCCCGGGAGGAAGGGAGAGAAGTTGGAAGATTGGGCACTGCAGGAGTCCGGCTGGAGCTGGCAGGCCCGCTCTGAGGACCTGAGGTTCTCTCTCTCCCCTCCTGATTGTTGCCTCGGGATGCAGGTAAGTAGGAATGAAAGGGCCCAGTGAGATAATGGCCAGGGAACAGTGTGGCCTAGCGGGTCAGGGCGCTCAAAGGAGCCGTGGCTCCGCCACTGAGCAGTTGTGCGACGTCAGGTAATTCCTCTTCTCTCTGCCTCAGTCTCTCTATCAGCTTCAGGCCTTTACTCGTACTTATCATACTTTCCCTTTCCCAGCGTGGCCTGTCTAAGCCTGTTGTCAGTCAAGTGTAGCTTGGACGGCACTTGCCCGGGAGGTTTTGCCTCACGTCTGCAGAACAGCATCCCTCCAGGAGCTCCCACCGTGAGGTGGACACCTCTGCTCAGCACTTGCTGATTGCCTTGTCAGTGTCCCCACTGGACCTGAAGTTCCTCAAGAGAACAGACTGTATCAGAATCACCCTTGTACCCCTAACTCCTGGCATAGTGCCTCGCAGAAAGTGGTCCCCTGAATATTTGACTGATCATGAAGGAATGAAAGAGAAGCCTGGTGGATGAATGAGGTAGACAGACACACAGAGAACTGGCAGTCCCTTCCTCCAAAGGACTTAGTTGATCACTTATATTGTTGCTCAGACATCCAGCCCGGGATCCGTTCACCCAGCCGGGGTCTCCGGTGGGAACACAGCCTCCCCTAAAGCCTGATTTTAAGGTTTTACCTAAGGATCCTGCTTGTCCCTTCAGATAGCAAATTAGCCAACCTCTTGGCTAAACTCCTGGCTCTCATTTTTGGAAGCATTTCTCAGAATGTTGTGGTTTCTAGGAAAACAAGAGAGAAAGTGAAATTCCATCGAGGGCCTGGCCCTCCTGGATGGAGCATCGTAGTAAATCCTGTATGCTTAAGATCAGCCAGGATCTCTGATTTCCACTCATCCAGAGGCCAGCCTCAGCGACTTAGTTTTCCCTCTGCATGTCCAGATTCTTTAGTTTCCCTTCTAAAACTTCCCTGACAGGAATATATTACATCGCAGGGATGGCCAGGGGGCGGTTATGTTGGTGATCTGGTCTAGACAGGCCTTCCTCAGAGGTGGAGCGACTCGAAGGCGGCTGAAGGCATTCCCCAAGAAAAGCTTCCCCCAGCTGGTCTGGAGAGCATGCTTGAAAGTCCAACCACACGCCATCCTCACTGGGGCCCTTGACAAAACGTCATCTGGGTGGGGTGTGGGTGAAAGCTGTTACTTGCTAACACCCCCACACCCCCGGATTGACGAATTCACTCGAACAGACACACACTGAGAGCCCGGCCCTCGGTGACAAGACAGCCTGGGGAGGAATGTTGTCCAGACACACACTTGCATCCCAAGCTGTGTGTGTGTGCAGAGGGGGGCTGTTATCCTATAGGGGCCCTGCCTTCTGACAGCAAGGCAGACTCTTCACCCCAGGGCCTGAGGAGAAACAGCTGGCACTGGGGGACCCAAGTCAGGAAAAGAGGCCTCCTGTGATGGGTCCGCTCGGGGAGAGGGGAGGAGACAGAACACATCATCTCTCCTGGTCCCTGGTCTGCACCCTTCCTGTCAGGCTCCTCGTATCCATAGCCTATCCCAAACGCCCCCAGCACAAGGCACTCTCCGCTGAAATCGGAACTCTCATAAGAGACAAATCATTCCATTCACTGTGAGAAACAGGGCGCAGAGAGTGAAGACCCTGTGGAGAGGACACTTGGTGAAGGCAACTCATCACACTGAAATGCAAATGCCACCGAAGCAGGAACTTCCCGTTGGCAGGAGCCCAGAGAGGAGCTTGGGCTCCGAGATTAGGGGAAGCAAAAGTCACCAAGGGCTGCGGGCTGGGGAGCGGGGAGAAGGCAGGGGCATCCCCCAATCAAGAACCCTACTCAGTGCTCTGTCTGGCATCAGTCTCTCGACCGTATATATATACGTCAGTCTGGACAAAATAAAAATTTAGGGTAGTCATTCCTAGGAAGGGATTCAGGAAGATGGTAGGATCAGAGAGGGCACATGTGGGGCTTCATAATAATTAGCAGTAATGACCTGTTTGTAAACTGTTGTATTTACATGAGTGTTGTTTAATTATCCCATATAATTTACAAATATAAATATATCATACTAATGGCCCGATGCACAAAATTCGTGTATAGGAGGGGGGATTTCCCTCAGCCCAGGCTGCACCCTCTCCAATTGGGGACCCCTTGGGGGACATCCCTCTCACAATCTGGGACCGCTGGCTCCTAACAGCACACCTGCCTACCTGCCTGATTGCCCCTAACCTCTCTGCCTGCCTGATCACTCCCAATTGCCCTCCCCTGCTGGCTTGATTTCATCACCCCCAACTACCCTCTCTGCCTCAGTCTCCACCACCATGGCTTTGTCCGGAAGGAAGTCAGATGTGCGAAAGATGGCCAGTCAACCCGGTCTAATTAACATATTACCCTTTTATTAATATAGATTATTAGTATAGATAGATTATATAGGACAGGATTGCTTAAATGGGGGGTGGGGTGGGATAGCCTTTTAAGTAGGAGGAGATGCGTCTCCCTATATTTGGGCTGATAGCCAGCCATATGCATTATATTGCCAAACTGGTCATTAAAAATTGAACCACTTTTTTACACCTTATGCCAAACAGCTGTTTCCCTTAAAACCCCTCCTCAGCCCCCACCTTAGGTTCTGCCTTTGCAGTTCACCCAGATTAGGTTCTGATTGGTCGGTTTCAATGCCAGTCAGTATCTTCGAGCCTATTTCTGGGCCTGATCAGAGAGATGGGGCTGATCAGCAGCCCCCATGGAGGCCCAGAGAGAAAGAGAGGCGTGGCTGCTGGTTGAAACCCAGAGAGAAAGAGAGAGGCAAGGGCTGATCAACAGGGGCTGCCACAGAGGCTATGGATCAGACGGTGTTTCTCTCTCCAGGCCTGATCTGCAGCCCCCTCAGCATTCAGTGCTGGGTCACCATGGCAACCCAGCACGGACTGCAGGACTGACTTCCAGTTAGTTGAGCCTTTGGTCATTTTGGATGTTATAGACCCTGGGTTTTTATATGTTAGGATACATTGTGTTTAATTCTTTATTTTATTATATGTGTATGTATAGGTATATGTATGTGAACTATTTTATTATATAATATATGAACTATTTTATTATATGTGTATGTATGTGTGTGTGTGTGTGTGTGTGAGAGAGAGAGAATGATTCATACATTTAAAAAATATTATGTGCAAAGCTCCTTAGAGAGGAGTGTCAAGACCCTTAAGGTGAGACAGACATGTAACTGAATATAAAGTGGTAACAGGTCACTTCTTGAGAAAGTCATGATACTGACTTTTTTTCAGATCCATATTGATGTGAGATTACCCTAATATTGCTAGTCCTATTCTATCTCATATATATATATTATAATATATATAAACAAGAAGTTCACATATCAGTGGAAATATAAAAGTTTGTAATTGCTATAAGTAAAGGTATGGAGGAGATATTTTATAACCTATAAAGACATAACATTTTAATTTTTAATCAGTTTTATTAATATATAATTAAAATATAATAAAATTCATTAATTTTCAGAGTAGTTAGATGAGTTTTGTCTATACATATAGCTGTGTATTTACCAGCAGAATCTAGATTTAGAGCATTTTGATCCCCTCAAAAAGTTTCCTATTTTCCTTATATTAATTCCCTCTTCCATTCCCAGAACTTGGCAACCATGGATCTGCTTTCTGTCACTAGTTTTACTTTTTCTAGAAATTTCATATACACAGAATCATACAGTGAGTAGTCTTTGTCTCTGGCTTCTTTCAGGAGCACGTGTGTATGAGCCTGTCTGACTCTGGGAGGTGACAGAATCTGTGTCTGTTTTCCCCACCCCATGCTCCCAGTAGCAGAGCTACCACGCCCTGCTTCCATCGTGCCTGGACCCTGTCCTCTCCCTGCACGATGGCCTGCTCACGGACCTGTTCCCGCATCCTGGGGCTCAGCCTCGGGACGACAGCCCTGTTTGCTGCTGGGGCCAACACGGTGCTCCTCTTTCCTGACTGGGATGTGACCTGTCTGTGGAGGGGCCTCATTGGCAAGCACGCCATGCTGGGCGCTGGGCTCTGGGGAGGAGGCCTCATGGTAAGTGTCCTGGGTTCTCTTAGTGTGAACTCCCAAAGTGCCCCCAGGGATGAAGCAGGGTGGGTGGGGAGGAGTGTTCTGATTCCTTGTAAAAAAACCAAAAAACTTTGATCTAACAAGCTAGTCTTGAGTCTACAGCAACTCGAAGGGATAGAATTGTCTAGAAAGAATAGCTGAATTTTGGACTAGGTGTGAACATACTAGGTGTGAACGTTGCCGTCAACAGAGTCAGGTCAGGCTAGTCATCCAAAACTGGGTCCTGACAGGCACAGCCAAAGCCCCTTGGGAAAGAGAGGATAACCAAGTCCACGTGAGGTGGCCAGCCACGCCAGTTCAACGGCCACAGGTGGCGGCAAGAGTGTAAATCACCCAGTCTCGCCCTAACGCTCTTTCTCCTCTCCAGGTTCTCATGGCAGCCACCCTCATCTCCCTGATGGGCTGGAGACGTGGCTGCTTCAGTAAGAGTGGGCCCTGCCGAAGCGTAAGCACTAGACTTCACTCTTCTCATACCTAGAATGCCCCCACATCCCGTGACTTCAGAGGCTGCGTGGCAAAAAGGCAATTTTGGTCTTGGGGTTTGAAGTCAGGTCCTGATCATGCCCTGTGATCGCCCTAAGCTCTTGGGCAAGTTGGTTAACTTCTCTGAGCCTCGAGTCCTCATCTGTAAAACTGGAGTTAGCAGAATCAAGTCCATGACCCTGTTATTTAATGAGCCATGAATGTTGTGATGAACCATAGTCTATCCAAATGTGAGAACTGTCATTATTAATTTTTCAGCTTATTGAACAACATGAACATGAGTTATGTACATTGCAATCATGTTGTTGTTGTTGTTTTATAATTTTAATAGGTTTTTATTGATTTCAGAATGGAAGGGAGAGGCAGAGGGATAGAAACATCAATGATGAGAGAGAATGGTTGATTGGCTGCCTCTTATACGCCCCACACTGGGGATCGAGCCCACAACCCGGGCATGTGCCCTTGACTGGAAATGAACCAGGGACCCTTCAATCTGCAGGCCGACACTCTATCCACTGAGCCAAGCCAGCTAGGGTGTAATCATGTGTTTTTGAAAGAAAATTTCTTGCCAATTTGTTTAATTTTTCTGTGAGCTGGAAGGTTCTCTGGGGATCATCTAAGGACTAGATTCTAGTCTAACCTCTCCATTTTACAGATAATGAAACTGAGGCCCAAATATATTTGCACTTTATTAATTACAATAGCATCTATATTTATTTTAAAACTCTCAGTTTACTTGCACAGTATGTTGCTTATTCACTCTCAGACACCTGAATTGGTGGCCTCCTTACAGTAACTCCACAGCCTGCTTTGGTATCTGCCACCCATATGTTGGGAACCCCCTGATTCAGAATTACATGGTAAAGAATTAAGTATAAACACTCACATGTTTTATTCACTATCTGTTCTCAGCCACGTCGGTTTTCCCCTGAGAGAATGGTTCTCAGGTTGAGCATACACCCAGAATCCTAGCAAGCTCTGTTAAAACATGGGTTGCTGGGTCCCACCCCCAGAGTTTCTGATTCAGTAGGTCCTTGGGGTGGAGAGGGGAAATTTGCATTGCTAACAAGTTTCCAGGTGAGGTGATTGATGCTACTGGGACAGGGACCACATTTGGAGAATTATTGTCCTAGAATAATTAATCTTGAATCTTTTAACTTAAAGAGTCAAAGCTGACTACGTGCCTGGCCCCGCCTGGGTAGCTCAGTTGATTAGAGCATCGTCCTGACACACCAAGGCTGTGGGGTTTGATCTCAGGTCAGGGTACATAACAGAATCAACCAGTTAGTGCATAAATAAGTGGAACAATAAAAATCTCTCTCTCTCTCTTTCTCCTCCCCCCCCTCCCGCCATCCTCTTCCCTCCCTTCCTCCTTCCCTCCCTCCCTCTCTCTCCCCTTTTCCCCCATCTTCACTCCTTTACACTCTCTAATATCGATAAAAACTAAAAACAAACCAAACCTTTCTCTGTGCCCTCCCAAGCTTCAAACCAGCTTGACCTCAGTGGGGAAATCACTCTGATTCTGTATAAAAACTACTTATATGTGTGTTTTGTAATTTTAAAATACGTGATCTTTGGAAAGGAGAATAAAATATTTAATATCCTGGGAAAGAAGACAATCTGGGAGCAAGCTAAAATCCTGCCGAGAAAATAAACTCATCGTGACCTTTTGGGAGGGAGAGAAAAGTGCAGCGACAGACTGGTGTCATTTCAGAGCTGACTGCTACTTCTGTCTTGGTTTCTCTTCTGTCTGTTCCTTTCTCTCTCCTTCCCTGCTTCCCCTCTCCCTTCCTTTCATGCTGGATTTGAAAAAGACTGGAGTCAGGGGTGGGATGGGAGAAAATACAGCTTTGCCTTAAAAGAGTCCGAAGAGGGCAAACTCTCTGACCCTTTAACTCAGAGGCTGAATGACTGAAGGCTGAGCTTGAAAGTTTTGTGTGTGAAACACTGAAAGATGTGAAAGAAAAACACTGATCAGTTGCCTCCTATACATGCTCAACCGGGGATCAAACCCGTAGATTAGGTATGTGCCCTGACAGGGAATTGGTGTACTGGACAATGCTCCAACCAATGGAACCATGCCAGTCAGGGCTGAGCTTAAAAGTGTTTGAAGCCAACCTGTTGGGAAGTTCCCGAGAGCCTGCTGACATAGGGTGATCCAGGTTCAAGGGCCAGTGTTTCCCCTTCTCAGTTCTTCCTCTTCCACCCCTTCCTAGCTCTACCCTGTGACCCCTCCTCAGCCACCCTCCCTTGGCCAAGCTTTCAAGGAGGTGCCATGGGTAGGCGTAGCCCCATGTGCTATCACAGAGAAAGCCTGAGCACCTGAGACCTTTCCAGGTGACCTAGGCACGACCCCATCTCAGACTCACTGGTTCTTTTTCTTTTTTTGTTAATCCTCACTGGAGGACATTTTCTCCATTAATTTTAGAGAGAGTGGAAAGGGACAGGAGTGGGGGAGAGAGGAGAGAGAGAGAGAAAGATGTGAGAGAACCACAGCAATTGGTTGCCTCCAACACATGCTCCTTCAACCAGGGCGGGAATGGGGAACCTGCATCCCAAGTACATACCCTTTAAAAAAAAAAAAAAAAAAAATATATATATATATATATATATATATATATATATATATATTATTGATTTTTTTTACAGAGAGGAAGAGAGAGGGATAGAGAGTTAGAAACATCAATGAGAGAGAGTCATCCATCAGCTGCCTCCTGCACATCCCCTACTGGAGATGTGCCCGCAACCAAGGTACATGCCCTTGACCGGAATCAAACCCAAAACCTTTCAGTCCACAGGCCGACGCTCAATCCATTGAGCCAAACAGGTTTCGGCTCAAGTACATACCCTTGATTGGAATTTAACCCGCTACCCTCTGGGTGGCAGCTGATGCTCTAACCACGGATCCATGTCAGCGAGGGCTCACTATTTTTTCTTTCCCTCTGAAGATGCTCGCTGCTCTATTATCAAGTGGCCTGGCTTTGCTGGGAGCCTTGATTTGCTTTATTACTTCCGGAGTAGCCCTGAAAGATGGCCCATTTTGCATGTTCGATATCTCATCCTTCAACCAGACGCAAGCTTGGAAATATGGTTACCCATTCAAAGGCCTACACAGCAGGTAAGTGGGTGGAGACTTGAATGGATTTTCGGCCTTTTCAGAGAAACAGATATAGAGATGAGGAGGAGTGAGGGAAGGAGAGTGTAAGAGAAAGAAAGAGAGAAAAAGAGAGAAACCACAAACTCTTTTTTGTTTCTCTTTGGGTGATGCATTCTAGCACCTCATTCCTCTGATGCTCAAACATTGCAAGTGCAGCACCAATAGTCATCCTCAAGAATGAGTCTAGGCTTGTGGCCTGAGCTGGGGAGGCCCTGTTGTCTGTTGAGGTTGCTTATTTGGCATCTCTTACTTGTTCCTCAACCCCTGTCCCTCTGTTTCTGGGAACAGGAATTATTTATACGACCACTCCCTCTGGAACTCCGTCTGCCTGGAGCCTTCGAAAGCTGTCGTTTGGCACGTGTCCTTCTTCTTCGCTCTTCTGTGCACCAGCCTCCTCCAAATCCTCCTGGTGGTCATTCATTTCTTCAACGCCTTTCTGGGCCTTTTCTGCAGTCTCTGTGAGAAGCCATAGGCCATGCCATTTCACCGGCACGGCTCTCGTCAGAAGCTGCCTTGAAGCCTTTCTGCAAGTAGGATTGATGGGTATGAATCACAAACAGACTTCCTTTTAGGTGTTCCTGTGGTCATTATAGCAACAATAATTCCTTGCATGTGTGTTGCATATTATGCATTTTAAACCACATTGTAAACTGCACGATATATTAGTAGGAGTAATTGTCATTATTATTGTGTAAGAACTTAGTCCCTAAAATGTCCTCCAGCCATGATCTTATTTCAGCTTCTTTTAAAAAAAATATTTTATTGATTTTTCACAGAGAGGAAGAGAGAGGGATAGAGAGTTAGAAACATGGATGAGAGAGAATCATCAATCAGCTGCCTCTTGCACATCCCCTATTGGGGATGTGCCTGCAACCAAGGTACATGCCCTTGACCAGAATCGAACCCAGGACCCTTCAGTCCGCAGGCTGACGCTCTATCCACTGAGCCAAACCGGTTTCGGCTCATTTCAGCTTCTTAGCAACTCCATGAAAGTTGCCACATGCGACAGAGAGAGAAGTTAGGGCTCCTGGAGGATCATGGGCTTGCTGCCCCAAAGCACTCAGTTAGGCCCAGGTATAGTCAGTACTCGAGCCCCTATCTTCCAAATTCAAGTTCATCAGTAGTTATGGACTAAACTGTATGCGCCCCGTCTCCTCAACCCCCAAACTCACAGGTTGAAGCCCTAACCCCCAAGGTGACTTTATTTGGAGATAGGACCTTTATGGAGCTAATTAAGGTTAAACAAGGTCATAAGGGAAGGACTCTAGTCCAGGAGGACTGGCATTCTTGTGAGAAGAGGATGAGATAGCAGATCCCTCTCTACATGAGCACAGAGGAAAAGGACGCGTGAGGACCTAGCTAGAAGGTTGCCTGCAAGCCAAGGAGAGAGGCCTCAGTAGGCACCAACCTTGCTAGCGCCTTGATCTCGGACTCCCAGCCTCAGGGAAATAAATTTCCGTTGTAAAAGCCGCCTGGTCTGTGGTGTTTTGTTGCAGCGCCCTGAGCTGATGAACCCGCCCGTGTTCTTTTCAGTAGTGCCAGAGCAGTTCACTAAGTGGTATACACGGAGTGTACACGGTGTGCCTGCCATTCCCCGCTGTGCATGCTGCAGATCCAAAGATGACAGACATGGTCCTTGACCGTGGACCCTTCCCTGTCCTTGAAGACTCACAGTCAGGTTAAGTAAACCAATACATATACCAATAATTTATTTATTTATTCATTTATTTTTTAAAAGATACATTTTATTGGTTTTTAACAGAGAGAAAGGGAGAGAGATAGAGAGCTAGAAACGTCGATGAGAGAGAAACATCAACCAGCTGCCTCTTGCACACCCCGTACTGGGGATGTGCCCGCAACCAAGGTACATGCCCTTGACCAGAATCGAACCTGGGACCTTTCAGTCCGCAGACCAACTCTCTACCACTGAGCCAAACCAATTTTGGCTATTTTTTATTTTTTAAAAATATATTTTATTGATTTTTTTACAGAGAGGAAGGGAGAGAGATAGAAACATCGATCACTTGCCTCTTGCACGCCCCTCCCCAGGACCCTTCAGTCCGCAGGTTGATGCTCTATCCACTGAGCCAAACTGGTTTCGGCTGTACCAATAATTTAAATGTTATATGGTGCCGGCACCGGTTTGGCTCAGTGGTAGAGCGTCGGTCTGCGGACTGAAAGGTCCCGGGTTCGATTACGGTCAAGGGCATGTACCTTGGTTGCGGGCACATCCCCAGTAGGGGGTGTGCAGGAGGCAGCTGGTCGATGATTCTCTCTCATCGACGTTTCTAGCTTTCTATCCCTCTCCCTTCCTCTCTGTGAAAAATCAATAAAAATATATTTTTAAATGTTATATGGTAAGGGCCATATTAGAAGTCAACAGGTTAGAGGGAACCATGAGAGCTTGGAGGAACAGTGAGCCACCAAGGTGAGGATCTGTGAGAGATCAAGGAAGGCTTCGGTTGTGTCTGAACTGACTCTTCAAGCTGCCCAGAAAGGAGGGGAGGGTTTTCCCAGTAGAGGAAGCGGCACACTCAAAAGCATGGAGGGCAGACAAGGGATGGCTGTGTGGAGAACTGGGGTGCCACAGCTGCTTCTGTTGTGGAAAGTGGGGAGCAGTGGACTCCCATCTCTCTCCCGTTAGGACCTTTGGCCAGGGGGTGGTGCTGGATGTGGGTAGTCAGGAGTGGATGAAGGAGATCCTGGTGGGAAGGTTTGACAGGCCGGAAAGAAAATGAAGCAAGCAGGAGTGGCCTCTCTGGAGCTGCTGGCTCCACATATCTGCGCAGGGCGGGGAAGGCGGACAGATGGAACTATTGGGACAGAAAGAGGCGCAGCCTCTTGAGTAGGCAGGGTGTTCTGAGGTCCAGGCACCACATCATCTATCCACATACAGTGCCCAAGAAGCGCTGCCTGTGTCTGCCCCCATTTCCCTGTTGGTTTGGTGTTGGGTCATAACTACTGTGTTTTCCCGAAAATAAAACATCCTCCGAAAATAAAACCTACTTATAGGTTTCCTTCTGAGTGAAATATAAAGCACCCCCGAAAATAAGGCCCCCTAGGCTCTGTCTCAGAATGAAAATTAATTTCACAAGAAATTCACAGGAAATTCAGGAATTGGATTGTTATGATGATGTTCCAGAAGATGATGACATGATTGTCATTGAATAAATGAGTAAATTCTTGATACTGTAGGATTCAGTTTGTCTGGTTTGTGTTGACAACTACCGTACTACCGTACCATATCCAGGTAATAAATTTCCTTTATTTTCATTGAACAATAAATGTGTACCGTATTCTTTTTCATGGAAAAATAAGACATCCTCTGAAAATAAGACCCAGCACATCTTTGGGAGCAAAAATTAATATAAGACACTGTCTTATTTTTGGGGAAACAGGGTAGGATGTGCCTGAGTCACAGGAGAATTTAAATATAATTTATGTCTAGTTTTGGACAGGTTAGGCACACATACACACATACATGCACACTCACACACATGCCAGGTTCATAATCCCCATCCTAGTTCAGCTTTGCTATGATGGCTCAGCAGGAAACTGAGGTGAGAGAGATCAGTCTTTGGGACCAAGATAATTCACAGTGAAGAGTTGGCTCTTGCCTGAGCCTCCTCCATCCTGTCAGCAGCCTCAGATAGATGTTCCTTAGACCTTGAAAGGACTTCAAATGACAATGTCTCCAATCTCTGTCTCAGCCAGGCCAATCATTCTCTCCTTCAGATACTGCACATTCTGGGCAGATCTTCCCCTCGCCGGCTGCTGGCACTCATAGATCTCGAAGTGCATAAGGTCAAAAACAGAAGTTTGGGCGTAAAGCTGACAACTCTTCCTCCAATCCCACCAGGCGAGGGGTGCACTATCCTTGAATCTAGAGATGAGCTAGAATGGCTCACTTACCTTCTCCCTTCACAATTCACAATAAATTGAATTGCGAAGGGCTGTAGGGAGAGGGAGAAGGGCCTTGGAGAGGCAAGAGGGGAAGAAGAAGAGAGGAGAGGAGAGGAAAGGAGAATAGAGAAGAGGAAAGTAGAGGAGAAGAGAGGAGAGGAGAGGAGAGAATAGGAGAGGAAAGGAGAGGAGAAGGATTTCTGCATTCATTCTTCCATGGGCCCATGGATTTCCACACAAGGCTATTGGCTGCCCTCTTTGAGGTTCCAGAGGCCACCAGCATCCCCTTCCTTCTACCGACATCCCAGGACCATCTCACACTCTGAGTGGGCTTTCGTCTTGTTTCTCCCCACACGAAATCTACATCTGGCTCTTGCCTTGGCTTCCAGCCAGGTTTCAGGCAGAGAGGCTGATGCTTATCCATTTATCTGGACATAAATAAACATTTTATTAACAAGAAAATTGTCCCTTACCTTGTATGTGCCTTTTTAAATGTCATTCTGGGCTGAAGATGTTTGTTTGTATTCCTGCTCAGAGAAGAGTAGGCCCAATTTTTAAAATAAGCCACCCCTCTGGTTTCTATTATAGCAAGACACCCCCCACCCCCATTTAGAAATAATTAAGTTTATTTTCTGCTCCCCAGCAAAATCTGTTCACTCTTTAGGACAAGGCCTGGGTCTTATTCATTTCTGTATCTCCGGCACCTAACACAGATGGAATAATAAAATGTGTATTGAATTGAATTTTGTACCGGATCTCCTGTGTTTTCAGTTGAACTGTAATGGATAGGGTGAGAGAAACACAGCTGAAGAACTCACTAAAGGTGAGGAAAGTCTGCCTCTTAGGGGTATGATTTCTTAAGGCTGGTGAGACCACAAGGCAAAAACACTCTACCTGCCCCTGGAGACATTGGGCTTCTGTGCCAGGCGGGGACCAGGCTGACCTGGGAATGGATGACCCTGGTCAGAGATGGAGCTGGTGCTACTGAACCAGGAGGCCGCGAAGAGGGTGACTGAGGCAGCATGGAGCTGGTGCGAGGTGCACACCAGGCCCCGTGGCCCCTGAGGCCTCTTGCAAATGCTCAATTCTGCCAAATAGAGCAAAGGCAGTGTGAGCAAGGTTATCTATATATATAAAAGGCTAAGCGACCATCTGACCGGCCAGTAGCTATGACACACACTGACCACCAGGGGGCAGATGTTCAGTGCAGGAGCTGCTGAGCTGCAGTCACTTGGCAGTAGCGGTTCCCTGGTGACTCACCCTGAACCAGAGAGGAGGGAGCCTGCTTCCTCACAATTCCTCTTGCATTCTGGGACCTCTACGGGGATGTTGGAGAGGCAGTTTCGGCCTGATCCTGCAGGCCAGGCCGAGGGACCCCATCTGCTGCAGGACCCCACTCACTTCACAGATGCCCTTTGAGTGCTGGTGCTGGCCCACATGTGACTGGCTGGAGGGAGTGAGGGAGGTTAGCTCCAGGGCATGTCCAACCCCAGCCCCACCCCACTGGCCACCACCTGGGACCACCTGCATTAGTCCCTGCACCTGAGGGAGTAATTCACTTCCTTCCAATGTGCATGAATCCGTGCACTGGGACACTAGTGTTACAATAAAACTTTACTTCTAGATACTGACATTTTAATTTCCACCCGTCATAATCTATTCTTTTGGTTTAAAAAATCATTAAAAAATATAAAAGCTATTCACACATTCAAAATAGGTTGAGGTCTGGATTTGACCCGCAGGTCATGATTTGAAGGCTTGAGAGTCAGTGTGTGTGTGCGTGTGTGTGTGTGTGGGGGGGGGAGGCGGTGTCTAATGTTCACTAGCTGTGTATCTTTGGATCTCCGTGGGTCTCAGGTTACATGTCAATTTATTTTAAAATTATTTTTATTGATTTCAGAGAAGAAGGGAGAGGGAGAGAGATCAAAACATCACTGACGAGAGAGAATCATTGATTGTCTGCCTCCTGCACCGTCGTCCCTACTGGGGACCAAGGCTGTAAACCCGGTTGTGCCTGAAAGGTCCAGAGTGGGCTGGGGTTGTCCACCTATAATATGAGGCCACAATGCATCAAAAGAGACTTTATTCTTGATCACCTGGGTGCAGGTGGGCTGAGACAGAGAAAGGCATCAGTGAAGAGAGCAGGGAAAGAGGTTCTTGTTAATTTTTGCAGGCTGTAAGCTGCTCTGCTGACCTAAGGGTCCGGCCGGTCCTTGGTTCCTCCCATGCCAGGTGTCTCCTGGTTTATCTGAGCTGTGCTGTGCTCAAGGCTGCAAGCTTTCTGCAAGATCTCTGCTAAGCACAACACGTTTGTCTCTGCCCCAGTTTTATTCTCTTTCACCCTTTCAGTGCCCTGCCTGGGAGCTCCACGGAGACCTCCTGGCTCTTTAGGTCGAGGCTCAAACCACTGAGCCACACGGGCAGCAACATGGGATTTGACCCGCAGATCATGATTTGAAGGCTTTAGAGTGGGGGGAGAGGGGGGGTCTAATGCTCACTAGCTGTGTATCTTTGGACCTCTGTGGGTCTCAGGTTTCATGTCAATTTATTTTAAAGATATTCAGAGAAGGGGGAGGGAGAGAGATACGGTAGAAACATCACTGATGAGAGAGAATCATTGACCAGCTGCCTCCTGCACGTGTCAATTTCTTAAGATGGTGGGGCGATTCATAAGAGCTAAGGCGCCACAAAACATCCTGCAAACCAAGGCAGAACGACCTCAATCTGGGCCGAAATTGCAGTCCCGCGATCCGGCCCGGTCTGCCCGGCTGCTCGCAGGGCGAGCCGCTCAGCGGGTGCGCGCGCAGCCTCCGCACGCCGCCGCCGCCAGGGGCGGGCCTGTTGCCGTGGCGACCGTTGCGCGGCTCCGCGCCGCGGCCAGCAGTGCCTTCCTCATCGCGACAGCCGGCGGGCCCCGGAGTCCCGGCCATGGCTTCGGTGAGGGGCGCGTCCTTGTCCATGTCCGCGTCGGACGGGACGCTGGACACGGACAAGATCTCTGGGAAGCCCGAGAACACCTACATCCTGCGGCCCGTGTTCCAGCAAAGGCGGGTACAGGCCGCGCTGCGGCGGGGCGGCCCGCGGGCCTGCGGGGCCGGGCAGCTGGGCCCGCGGGGAGCCGGGAAGAGGGGCGGGGCGGGCGGGGCTGCAGAGGGAGGAGCTGGGGGCTGTTGTTCTTGGCTTCAGCTGCAGGGGGCAGCAGAGGGCCCGGCCTGCGGTTGCAGTGTTCGAGCTCTGCAGCGCAGTGGGCGTGGTTGACTCTAAAGGTGACTCTAAAGTCCCGATTGGTGCCCGGCTAGCTCAGTCGGTAGAGCATGAGACTCTTAAAAAAAAGTCCCGATTTTTGGAAAGAATCTTTCCAGTGTTTCCAATCTTTCCAATGTTTCCAATCTTTCCAAAAATCGGGACTTTTTTGTTGATCAGCTTTAACAATAACCCACAACCTTCGGACCAACTAAAAATCGGGACTTTTTTAAAATCGGTACGCGGGAAAATTTGTTAGAAATCAGGACTGTCCCGCCAACACTGGATGATCTGGTCACCTTCCTCTAGAATCTTGGAGCCCCAGGACGTGAACGCAGGAAAAGGAGATGGATGGAAAAGAGGGGAGAGCAGGAAACAAGCGGCTTGCTCGAATGTCATCCAGCCGAATTTTGGAGTGCACCGTGTGCACACATGTGCCAGAATAGCTTACTTCTCTGCAGGGCAAGGGACCTGAATGTGTGTGTGTGGAGGAGGCCCAAGGCATACAGTCTGGTGCAGAGGACAGTCTGCTATTCTGCTAGGCCTGTAGGACATATCACTAATTTTATTTTCACAGGGTGAAAAAAAAATTAAAGTGAAAGATTTCCCAAGCTCTTTCTCTGTTGCTTAAAATCAGAGTGCTGAATCAAATGCTTGGCAAATATTGGGAGCCAGGAACTTTGGTTATAATATGATAAACAGTGGTGAGTAGAATGGATATTAAAAAAAAAAAAAGATGTTTAGTTGTTCTTGTGAAGTATTCTAAAGGCATAGAATGACATTCGCCAGGGTTTCTTTTGTAAAACAGTGCAGAACAGGATTCACAAAAAATATATCTAAGAATAATCCTATGAAATTATTTCTGACTTGTTTGAAGAAAACTTTCAACATTTACTGAGAATGGAAAAGGCTTAGGAGACGAGCCAGATAGAGTACGTTTGTTAATAGGGAGACCACATTTTGAACAGATCAAATCCTGTAAATTTGTCAATGATTCCAAAGTTCATCTGTGGAGTAAGCAGGCAGAAGGCCAAAGAAAATACTGTTAAAATGTAATAGGGGCCACTAGTACTACCAATTATTAAGCCACATTACAAAACATCCTGGTAACTTGGCCCGAGAGACAAATCAGCTATAGACGATCAAGCCCAGAAAAGGATCTTTATGTTACAATATGCTGGAGGCCCAGTACCAGGCACCGGTGGGATTCTTTGGCCTGGCCTGTGGGGATTGGGCATCCCCCGAGTGGTCCCAGATTGCATGTCCCATATTGAGAGAGGGCGCAGGCCAGGCTGAGGGACACTACCGGTGCATGATGGGGCAGGGGAGGGATAGAGGGAGGGCTCTAGGGCATATCCGGCCTGTCTTGCCCAGTTCCAATTGGCCAGACCCAGCAGCAAGTTAAACTACTAGTCAGAGTGTCTGCCCCCCGGTGGTCAGTGTGTGTCATAGCGGCTGGTTGAACAGTCGAATGGACTGTCAGGCACTTAGCATATAGGATGGTAAATACAAATAAAATGCTAATAGCATTGTTAGGGTGGTGGAATTAGGGAAGATTTTTTTTTTCCTTCTGTCTCCCTTTCTTCAATAATTCGTTTCTTAAAAAAAAAATTATTGTCTACCGTGTGCTGGGTGCTACTCTCCCCTCATGGAACTTATAGTCTAGGTAAAAGGACAACAGATAAGATAAATAAATGAACCACATAGGGTATCAGATAGTAATAAGTACCAGGAAGGGAGATATAAATTGATATAGTAAAAGGGTGGTTTGAAGTTTTAAGGTGACTAGGAAAAATAACTTTTAAAAAAATATTTTTTTATTGGTTTCAGAGAGGAAGGGGGAGATAGAAACATCAATGATGAGAGAGAATCCTTGATCAGCTGCTTCCTACATGCCCCACACTGGGGATCAAGCTCACAACCAGGACATGTCCCCTGACCAGGAATTGACCCTTGACCTCCTGGTTCATAGGTCAACGCTCAACCACTGAGCCATGCCAGCTGGGCGGAAAAGTGACTTTTGAATAAAGACTTGAAAGAAGTGAGGGAGTTAGCTATGCATAAAAGGAGGAATTAAAGTCCAGGCAGTACAGTAGCTCCGAAGTTTGCATGCTACTGGAAAGGCAGCAAGACTGACACCAAATGTTGTGGCTTCAGCAACTGGAAGAATGGAGGTGACAGCAGGAGAACCTGGTTTTGGGGAAAGGAGACAATCGGAAGCTCAGTGTTGGATGTTTAAAGTTGAGTTGCTCCTGCACATCCAGATGGAATATGTGTTGGAAGCTGTGGTCTGGAGTTCAGGGGAGAGATTCGACGTATTTTCTTTATTTGTTTTTGTTACTTTTATAATAAACAATATGGAAAAGGATGAAATGGTTCCAGTGACGGAGAGCTAGAGGAAGCTGAGCCGGGAAGGGGAGTAGGGTTTGGAGTGACCAATGGGATGTCTGACTGTCTCCCGCAGGTTCAGACCCTCTGTGGTGAAAGAATGCATCCATGCTGTGCTCAAGGAGGAGCTGGCGACCGCCGAGTACTCTCCGGAGGAAACACCTTCGCTCACAAAGCGCCTGTCAGAAACGATTAAAGATAAGTTAAAAAGTAAGAATGGTCATCAGTTTTAGCCATGTGTCTCCTTCCCCATCTTTAAACAAGGGACATAAGCTGTGGATTCTATTAAAGACACATTTTTCTTTAATTTAAATTTTCTCCTCAACTATATGGTAACTTTTACTCATGTGGTTTTTAAAGGTAATGGGAAAGAGTAAAGATGTGAAATAAGACATTGTATGGAATCACTATTCAGGAAATACAAATATGCAGAAAATATAGGGTCCTTTCCCCAATACTAGTAATTCTTGGTTGTTTGTCCCACCAAGATATCGATTCCTCAGCCTACTCAACCCTCTACTGCTGTCAAACTGCATGTGCAGAGCAAATCTTTTGCTTTACCTAACCGTTTGTGTGTGTGTGTGTGTGTTTTGTTTTTTTTTAAATCAATCTTTATTGTTCATATTATTACAAAGGTTCCTCATTTCTTCCCCCTTCCACCAGGTTCCCACCCCACCCTCCGCCCCCTCCCCATCCCCCATTGTCCTCATCCATAGGTGCACAGTTTATGTTCAGTCTCTTCTTCCCTCCCTTTCCCCGATAGTAAATCCCTTCTCAGACAGTAAATCAGTTACTTAGCATTTTCTCATATCAATAATACCTCCACATGCCCAATGATACACTTCACACAAAAGACATTTCCCAATAGGTCCACCAGCCTCATCCAGGCCCCACCCAAGGCACTCACAGATCAACACCCCAGCCCTAAACTAACTCAACACATCCAGATCTAAGCCTTCATCACCTGATTCAGCAGACCCTCAAGTTCCCACGAAAGTTTCCAGCCATGTCTGAGAAGCAGCCGTGGGGCAGGGGCAGGCAAGGAGCGAGCTGTTCCGGGCCCGGCTGCCCAGGGCCCGGCCTCTGCCGCTCTGGTTCATTCCACAACCAGCTGCTCCGGGTCTGGTCACTGCCGCTCCCGACCTAGTTGCTCTGGACTTGGCTGCTGCTGCTCCGGGCCTGGCCGCTCCCAGCCTGGCAGCCGCTGCTCCGGGCCTGGCTGCACCCGACCCGGCTGCTCCCCCGGGCCTGGCCGCTCCCAGCCTGGCAGCCGCTGCTCCGGGCCTGGCCGCACCCGACCCGGCTGCTCCCCAGGGCCTGGCCGCTCCCAGCCTGGCAGCCGCTGCTCCGGGCCTGGCCACACCCGACCCGGCTGCTCCCCCGGGCCTGGCCGCTCCCAGCCTGGCAGCCGCTGCTCCGGCAGCTGCTTTTTTTTTTTTTTTTTTTTTTTAATATTTCTTATTAATGTTATACCGTCTGATCCTGGCAAGTGTGGGTCAGTGGTTGAGAGCTGACCTATGAACTAGAAGGTCATAGTTTGATTCTGGGTCAGGGCACATGCCCAGGTTGCGATCCCCAGTGTGGGGTGTGCAGGAGGCAGCCGATCAATGATTCTCTCTCTTTTCCCTTCTTCTCTGAAACCAGTAAAAATGTATTTTATTTATTTTTCAATAAAAATATATTTAAAAAAATAAAATGAAATGTTTATACCATCTGAAAAGCCCTCTCTAGCTATCCTTTTTTTTTTTTTTTAATATCACTTTTTGGAAAGAAGAAATATCTTTGTAATAAGTATAATTTTCATTATAATTAACTTGGACAATACAGTAGTCTGCCCTTATTTGCGGGGATATGTTCTAAGATCCCCTGTGGATGCTTGAAATTAATGATAGTCCCGAACCTATACCATGTTTTTTCCTGTACATACATACTTGTGATAAAGTTTAACTTATAAATTAGGCACCGTAAGATTAACAATAACATAATAAAATAGAATGGTTATATTAGTTAAAAAGGGAAAACTTTGTTCTGTATATTTTGTTATCTTTTACAGAATAATAAAAGAAGGACATGGAAAAAAATAGAATGTTTACAACAATATATTATAATGAAAGTTATATGAATGTGGTATCTTTCTCCAAAAAAATCTTACTGTGTTGCACTCACCTTTTCATTTAAAGGAAGCACTTTACGGCTTCTCTTTGGCATATTTGAACTGGGTGGGACAGAATGGGTCAGTGTGCGATTTCAGAGGGGTCCACAATTTCAAACTCATGAGTGATGTATTTCTGGAATTTTCCATTTGATGTTTTCTACTGCGATTGACAGGGAAATTGAAACTGTAGGAAGCAAAACTACAGATAAGCGGGGACTACTGTATAGACAATTTTTTTAAGTATAAATTTTAATTACCTAAGGGTAAATACTATTTAATATTTTGGTGTCCACGGATGATGAAAATACATAGAATATTTTCTTTATACTTTTCTATATTTTTTCATTTTCTTTATACTTTTCTATATTTTTTCACTAATATAATTGTTAGTATATTAGCATTTTCTTTAAATTTTAATGAAAATTCACTGTTAAAATTATTGTTAAAAATATATGCTCTTTTGCCTGGTTGGAGAGAAAGAAACATCGATGGGTTGCCTCCTATACACTCCTCGACCTGGAATTGAATCTGCAACTTCTTTGGCACATGGAACCATGCTCCAACCAACTGAGCTACCTCAGCAGGCCCTAAAAAAATAACGTGGGTTTTAAAAAAATAACTTGGGCTCTATCTTCTGAGATTTTCTTAAGTATCTTTAATTAGGGTTCATGCCCCACATGGAAGGGTACCTGTTGTGTCGAGATTGCTACCCTAATCCTATATAACAAAAGGCTATTATGCAAATTGACTGAACTGCTATGATGCATACTGACCTCCAGGGGACAGATGCTTCCCCCTGCTGATCAGTGCACTCCCACAGTGGGCGCACCACTCAGCCAGAAGCTGGGCTCACTGCAGCAGTGGTGGTGGGAGCCTCTCCAGTCTCTGCAGGAGCACTAAGGGTGTCTGACTGATTGCTTAGGCCCGCTCCCCAGTTGGACATCCCCCCGAGGGCTCCTGGATTGCGAGAGGGTGCAGGCCGGGCTGAGAGGGACCTCTCCCCCTCCAGTGCACGAATTTCATGCACTGGGCTCTAGTTTACTATATAATCCTGAAGCTTTTATTTCATTAAAGAGAGTTAGCTCTGTTTCAACTTTGCCCATTTCACATTTTTGTTGTTACTCTTTCCACTATTTCCTGGTCAGAAAGCAGGGAAGATAAATATATCCATTCAGTTTTCTTTCTCCAGATTTGTGGTTAGTGAGAATTTTCAGGATTTTGCTTGTATAAGGTTACATACATACTAAGCTTATAGTTAGGGTTTGTCCTCAGGTCTCTCTGACTCCCAAGCTTATCATCATACTCATTGTTTGTAGACTGAATGATTATGTTCTATTCTAGGCAAATTTGCTTTCATTAAGTAGTTTTACCATATATTTGCTTACAGATAACATCCTTTTTTTTTTTTTTCCTCCTTTCTAGCCATGGGATTTGATCGATATAAAATGGTGGTGCAAGTAGTTATTGGAGAACAAAGAGGTGAAGGAGTATTGTGAGTAATTGGTTTTTCTTTCTTTTTAAAAAAAATATTTTTATTTCTATTATAGAGGAAGAGAGAGATAGAAACATCAGTGATGAGAAGGAATCATTGATTGGCTGCCTCCTGCACCCTGGGCCGAGCCCACAACCCAGGCATGTGCCCTTGACTGGAATTGAACCTGAGATCCTTCAGTCCACAGGCCAATGCTCTATCCACTGAGCCAAAACAGCTAGGGCATTGTTTTTCCTTCTTGATTTTATTCTTATGTATTTCTTATGAGGTATTCATCCTCTTTACGATTCAGTATGATTATGTTTTGCAAGTGGGAGTAAAGGACAATATAACAAAATGCAACTGTGAACCCAAGAGATCCTAGTTCTGAACAGTGAGGTTGACAGTTGGTGAGCTCATTGGGTAATTCACTTTTCATAGTATCTGTAGACTGATAAGTGTTTTAGGATTTATGCATATAGTAGAGGCCCGGTAGGATGCACAGGTGGGTTCCAGCCAGCCCACCCCAATCTGGACCTATTGGGGCTGGCTGGCAGGGGTGGGGGAAGGGCTGTGGGAGGTTGGCCCGCCGCCATCGGGCCAGTTGGCCGGCTTCAGTGAGCGTCAGCAACTGGTTGTTTCTATTGTTCTGGTCACTTAAGCTTATATATAAATAGATGTTCCCAAAGAAAGTATGGGACTATGTATATATGTTTCTTCCCATATTTCTTTTTTTTTTTTTTTTTTTTTTTTTTTTTTTTTTTTTTAATATATTTTATTGATTTTACACAGAGAGGAATTGAGAGGGACAGAGAGTTAGAAACATTGATGAGAGAGAATCATTGATGATCAGCTGCCTCTTGCACACCCCCTACTGGGGATGTGCCCGCAACCAAGGTACATGCCCTTGACCGGAATCGAACCCGGGACCTTTCAGTCCCCAAGCCGACGCTCTATCCACTGAGCCAAACCAGTCCCGGCCCCATATTTCTTATTTCTCAATTTTTGGTCCTACCATTATCCAAAATAAATTTCTTTAAAATTGTCTGAGACCTTCGTATTAGCAAATCTAAAAGTTCTTTCTTAGCTCTTGTGTTTGCCTGGGCTTTTGTTTCTTAAAATTCATTCTGGTTTTATTGGCCTTGATGTCACTTGTATAACTTGTTTCTCTCCTTTTTTTCTGATTATTCTTTTTTCTTCACTGGGTCCTCTTAATTCCCTCTCTCCCCAGCTACCAGCTTTCTTCAAGGCTCAGTTCTTATTCTTCTGCTCTTCAATATGCTTTCTCAATGAGCTCATTCATTCTCATGACCTCAAACTGTCATTCCTGTATTGGCGATTTCAAAATATGTATTTCTTGTCTTTTCCTATGCACAAGAGTTAAACTCTTGCTTCCATTTGTAAACAGTGCCCAATATAATATCCTATATAACAAAAGGGTAATATACAAATTGATCCTAGCCGAAACCGGTTTGGCTCAGTGGTAGAGCGTCGGTCTGTGGACTGAAAGGTCCCAGGTTCGATTCCGGTCAGGGGCATGTACGTTGGCTGCGGGCACATCCCCGGTAGGGGGTGTGCAAGAGGCAGCTGGTCGATGTTTCTCTCTCATCGACGTTTCTAGCTCTCTATCTCTCTCCCTTCCTCTCTGTGAAAAATCAATAAAAATATATTTAAAAAAAACAAAAAAACAAATTGATCCTAATGGCCAAACAACTGGGAACGACTGGTCACTATGATGTGCACTGACCACCAGGGGGCAGATGGTCAACGCAAGAGGGAGCTCCACTCAGCCACACGGACTGATGGCTGTGAGCGCAGCGATGGTGGCAAGAGCCTCTCCCTCCTCCTCAGCAACACTAAGATGTCCAACTGTGGCTTAGGTCTGCTCCCCTTAAGGTGGACATCTCCTGAGGGCTCGAGGGCTGCCAGAGGGATGTCTGACTGCCAGCTTAGGCCTGATTCCCTGGGGAGTGGGCCTAGGTGGCAAGTGGACATCCCCTGAGGGGTCCCGGACTATGAAAGGGCGCAGGCTGGATTGAGGGGACCCCCCCAACCCCCCCAGTGCAGGAATTTTTGTGCACTGGGCCTCTAGTTTTGTAAGACAATGCTAAAATATATGTTGAATGAATTTAAAAATACACTTGTAAATAATATCACTGAGCATATTCACTATAGAATGTTAAATTTGAAAGGCACTACAGATACTTTCTAGTGTCTAGTTCCCCTATTTTATGATGATACTTATGAGATTCAGCATGACTAGCTCGCAATTATAGATATGCCTGCTGTCAGGGTCACTAATAGAATTCAGACTTCTGATCCTAGCACAGTACTCTTCATCATGGTGCTCTCTACCATTTGTTCAAAAGGCTGCAGGAGATTTTCTGACCACAGAGAGGCTCAGAAATACTTTCCTATTCTGTCACCCCAGATTTAACATGTTAACGAGTTCCTAATTTCTTTCCCTTCCTCTCCTTAAATCAGCCTGTCACTTTAACTTCTCTGTCTCTCACAAGGTCCTACTGACTCAAGGTCTACTTTTATCTTATGTAGCCATTACTCTCTCCCATTGCACTCACTGTAATCTGGATGCCAGAAATACTTAGCAGCAGTCCCTTATCAGCACTCCTGGACTCTGATCTCCCTCCTCCACAATTCATTTTGCGTACCAGACCAATCTCCCAGGAGTACACCTTACTTTCTCTCCACAGGCTCTGTACAGAGTTTATTTCAAATCTTGTCAGGTATAAATTCCTTTAAATTGGCTTGGTTAAATGTGATCAGGCCAAACTCTAAAGCATGGCATACAAGGCCTTTTTCCCCCCCGACCCCCCCCCCCCGAGTTCTAAAAATGTTATTGTCTAAAATTTAAAACATGTGCAAGTGTAGGGACTGAGGAATTCCCATGGATCTAATTCTTGGCTTGAAAGGTTATCAACACATACCTATGTTGTTTCATTTATATATCTGCTGCCCCCTCTAGCTTATTTTGAAGTAAATCCCAGTCGTCATACCATTTCATCTATAAATACAGCAGTATATATGTCTAAACTATTATATAAGGACCCTTTTAATATAATAAAATATTACATCTAAATATTGTTAATCCTTAATATTATAAAATATCCAATTAGCATTCACATATCCCCAGTTGAATGAATTTCATGTGTGTGTGTCTGTATTTGTATACTAAAGGCCCAGCACACAAAATTTGTGCATGGGTATAGTCCCTTGTCCTGGCCTGCAATCAGGGCTATTTCCCCTGGCTGCTGGAAGCCAGCACCGCCCCCTATCTATCACCTGCCCCTGGTTTTCCAATCGCCCAAATTGGTGCCTGCCTGCCAGGAGGGGGAGGGGGGGAGTGAGTGGACAGGGGGAGGGGAAGGGACCAAGAGGTTGGCCAGCAGGCTCTGATCTGGTGATCAAGTCTGCGATCTGGCTATCAAGTCCTGCAGAGCTGAGGGCAGCTCCTGTGTTGAGCATCTGCCCCCTGGTGGTCAGTGCACATCATAGCTATCAGTCTTTCTGCTGTTCGGTTGATTTGCATATTACCCGTTTATTATGTAGGATTTTACAGTTGGTTCAAATTAGAATCCAGGCAAAGTCCACACATTATATTTGGTTGATTATCTCTTAAATTTCTCTTAATATATAACTTCTCTCCTTCTTTTTGCTCTTGCTGTCTTTTTTTATCTTACTATTTATTTGTTTAAGAAATTGTGTTTGTCTTGTAGAGTATCCTATCTATATTCTGTCATTTTCTGATTGTGGTGCCTGGTATTATTTACTATGACTTATATCTCCTCTTTTCTTGTAAATAAGTAGTTAGATATAGTCTTAATCAGTTGGAGATTTGAGTTTTGGGCAAGAATATTACATAGGTATTTAGTATGCATCCTATTGCATCTCATCAAGAGGCAGAAAATGTCTGGTTGTCTGTTTTTTTTGTTAAGATTGATCATGGAGTTCAGATATTGTCAGATCCATCTATTGTAAAGTTCCCTATCAGCTTTACCATTAATAGTTTTAGCAGCTATCCTAGATTCATCAGAGGTTACAAAATAGTGACCTTCTAATTCTACCATTGTTCTTTATTTATTTGCTGGAATTCTATTAAGAATGACTTTTCTTTCAACTATTTCATTACAATGAGGTATAGCTTATACAGGAAAGGGAGGATAATTTTATTTTATTTTTATTTATTTTTTTATTGATTTTCCTCAGAGATGAATGGAGAGAGATAGAGAACTAGAAACGTCGATGAGAGAGAAACATCGACCAGCTGCCTCCCGCACACCAGGGATGTGCCCGCAACCAATGTACGTGCCCTTGCCCAGAATCGAACCTGGGACCCTTCAGTCTGCAGACCGATGCTCCATCCACTGAGCCAAACCACTTTCAGTGGGAAGATAATTTTAATAATATTCAGAATAATGAATTGGTTCCCTAGATCTTCCAGAGCTTAACAATTGAGTTATCTCTCTCTTTTTTTTTAAATCTATGAACCCATGGTTTTAAATATATTTTATGTGTTTAAATCCATTGTGGTTATCCTTATTGATCTCTAAATTGTCCCATCTTTTGCAATTAGTAGTTTCTTCAAGTTAACTCTGGATTCTTTTTATTCCTTTTTAAATAAAACAGAAGGCATCTCTCTCTTCTCAAAACATACTACACCAGGTAATAGACCAAGCATGGAGTGGTACCTCGCCAGTGTCAAGGACATGGGCTCTCCTGTATTGTTGCTCTGCTATATTCTTTACATGGTAGAAGATGGCTCAGTAATGCATTAACATTCCTTATTGAAAGAATAGAAGGAAATGTGCGTGCCCTTCCATTTGCAGCACTTTAAAGATATAATTACACTGTCTTCCAGTTTCCATTGTTTCTGTTGAGAAGTCAGCTGTAAGTCTTACTGTTCCTTTGTCTTTTTTTCTTTCTAGCCACATTAGAATGTTTTCCTCATTGCTTTTTTTTTTTTTTTTTTTTAACTCTGGTGTATATGATTTTCTTCTTATTCATTCAGTGTGGGGTTCTCAGAGCCCAGGGAATCTGTGGGCCATTGAATCTTGTTTGTATAAGCTTGGGTAAATTCTCAGTGTGTGGACAGAGCAGACTCCATCTTGAAGTGAATCCACCTGCTTAGTTTCTGAGTGAATGATTCCGGACCTTTGACTTCTCTTCCCCTTCTCCTGGGTGAACTCTGGAATGTGTCCAGAGGTTTCCAGCTAATCACAGAGCTTCCATTACTCCTTCCTCTGCACAAGAAGCTCCGGAAGTTGCCTGTCTCTTAGTTCACTCCAGCACCAGGGTCTGCTGGTATCTGACTCCTTTGTCTTTTGGAACATGTAAGTCTGTCTCTGAGTGGAGATGAAAGATGGTGGTCTTGGAGGGGAAAGATGGAGATTTGACTGTTTTGCAGCCAGTCAAGACAAGTGTTTCCTGTAAATTCTCTATTAAACCTGTTCACATAAACTGAACTTTTCTGTCTCGTTCTTTGGTCTCTGTTCCTTTGGGGCCATTCTGCCTACACGGTCTTTTTATGGAACAGTTAGACGTTATCTTTCTAAAATTAAACATTTTTTTTTTTAAAATAAACTTATTTAGGATTGTTTCAGATTTGTAGAAAAGCTGGAGAAATAGTACAGATACTCCACAGCTAGTTTCCTCTATCATTGACACCCTGCATTAGTATAGTAGGATGTTAATGATACATTTGTCACAACTAATGAGCCAATATTGATGCATTATTATTAACTAGAGTTCATACTTAATTCACATTTCTTTAGTTTTTACCTAATGTCCTTTTTCTGTTCTAGAATCTTCTCTAGGATATCACATTTCATGTCTCTTTAGGCTCCTCTTGGCTGTGACAGTTACTCAGACTCTCCTTGGTTTTGATGACCTTGACAGTTTTGAGAAGTCCTGGTTGTGTATTATGTAGAAATTCCCTCAACTGGGATTTGCCTGCTCATGATTAGTCTGCTCATAATAGGTTCTTGGGAGAAAGATCAGAGGTAAAGTGCTTTTCTCATCATCACATATCATATCATATCAGGGTACATATTATCAACATGACTTACTACCATTAATATGCTCATGTGCCTCAGGTAATGTTTGTTAGGTTTTCCCTTGTAAAATTACTCTTTCTTCCCCTTTCACACTATACAGAACCACCATGTGAAGCCCACGCTTAGGGAGCAGGGAGTTATGCTCTACCTCCTTGAGAGCAGAATAGCTGCATAAATAAATTATTTGGAAATTTCAGCATAGGTTTGTCTCTTTTTCTTTTATTTCTTTATTCAGTCATTTACTTATTTCAGTATGTACTCGTGGATTTTTATACTGTGGATTACAATTCAGCATTACTTAATTTTGTTACTGAAAGTGTTCCAGCTTTGGCCATTTGAGCTCTTTCAGCTGACTCCTGTGTCCCTTTGGCATACTCTACCGTTGTGATTTTTCTGAGCACTTCCTTCCTTACTTACACTGTGTGCTACTCCATATTTATTCATCCCCTCTCCAGCCTAGAATCAGCCACTTCTCCAAGGAGCCCTGGTCCATTTTATTGGAGAACGGCATTAGAAACTAAGATCTGGGTGCCAGGTGTGGCCATTATCTTTTAAACTAGTGCTTCTGTTCTACTAGTGCTTGTGTTCTATTTGCTCTGCTTGTCTCCCCCTTCTCCCCCCCTTAAATTGTTTTTATTGATTTCAGAGAGAAGAAAGGAAATGGAGAGAAGGATGGAAACATCAATGATGAGAGAGAATCATTGATTGGCTGCCTCCGACATACCCCCTACTGGGGATCCAGCCTGCAACCTGGGCATGTGTCCTAACTAGTAATTGAACTGGTGACCTCCTGGTTCGCGGGTTCAACCACTGAGCAACACCACCTGGACTCTGCTCTCCCTTTCAGACTCCAATTACATGTATTTAGATTTGTTACTATATTCCACATCTCTTGTGCTCTTGACTAAATTTTTGTTTTTGCTCTCTGTGCTTCAGTTTGGATATTTTTCTTTAAAAAAAAATTTAAAAAAGTAAATTTCAGAAAGGAAGGGAGAAAGAGATAGAAACATCAGTGATGAGAGAGAGTCATTGATCAGCAGCCTCCTGCACCCCCTTCCCTCTCCCCATCCCTCAGGGATCGAGTCCGCAACCCCGGGCATATGCCCTTAACTGGAATCAAAACCGATACCCTTTATTCCAAAGGCTAACACTCTATCCACTGAACCAACCCAGCTAGGGCTGGATATTTTTATTTCTTTCTTTAAAAAAAAAAAATACATACTTTATTGATTTTTTTACAGAGAGGTAGGGAGAGGGATAGAGAGTTAGAAACATCGATGAGAGAGAGACATCTGTCAGCTGCCTCCTGCACACCCCTACTGGGAATGTGCTCGCAGCCAAGGTACATGCCCTTGACCAGACCCTTCAGTCCAAAGGCCAATAATGCTCTACCCACTGAGCCAAACCGGTTAGTACAAGGCTGGATATTTTTCTATTGACCTGTCTTTCAGTTGACTAATCTTCTTTTCTGTTGTATCTAATCTGCTATTCAAGCCACCTACTGAATTCTTAATTTCAGTTATTATATTTTTCAGCCCCAGAATTTCCATTTAAATATTTCATACATTTCTAGTTTTTGGTGAAATTCTTTATCTTTAATCTATGTTCTCTATCCTTCTTCTCTCCTCCTTTTTTACATTTTAGTCATAGAAGTTATGTTAGTCATTTTCTGCTAACTCTAATACCTAGATCAGGTGTAAATCTGTTTCCATTGATTTTTTTTTTTTCCTTGATAATTGTTCATGGCTCTATCCTTTGGCATACTAGTTTGAATCCTGGGCATTGTGTTAAAAAAACAGCTTGTAGAATCTCTAGATAATACTTTTTTCTTTCAAAGAGGGTTTACATTTTCTTTTCGATTCAGGTAGAGTATGGCCTGCTTACCTTAATCCAATCAGGTACTGAGCTGAGTTGAGATTTTGTTGTAGTTTTGATAAAGCTCTCACTATCTTTGGTTCCGCCTCCTCCTCTCCTCTCCCCCACCCCTCCTTCACTACTTAATTTAAATTTATTTTTACTTCCCTGCCTCTGGCCAGACCCCACAATTTCATTTTGCACTGGGTCCTGCAAACTGGCCTCATCATTGACACTCATTATGATAGTCAAGCAACTTCAACAGGACAAAGGTGTCACGGATATTACATCTTCTGCTACTATTGCTGTCCTGCTGTTATTACCACTGTCTTCTCTGTGACTTGCACTGGAGTAAGCCCTTAGCAGTGTCATCCTATTCAGTCCTTGCAACCATTATTCAAGGCAGGGCTTGTCCATTGGGTGGTTCTCTAACTTTTTCGGGTTTGTTTTCTCATCTGTGAAATTGGTACAATAATGCCCCTTCACAAGGATATTGTGAGAATTAAGCACCCTTCTTTCTTGAGTATAGCTCTCCAGGTTTCTCAACCAAGAGCCTGAAGCATTCATTTGAACCCACTCCAGCAAGTACTGACTTTTAGTCCCTGTTTTCTCAGCACAAAACTACTCTTCATTTTAGAGCCTTTTTCCTTGATGCATTGGTTTCCTATTGCTGCTGTAACAAATTACAAACCTGGTGTCTTAAAACAGCACATATATATTATTTTACAGTTCTGGAGAACATAAATCAAAATGGGTTCCGCTGAGCTAAATTCAAAGGGTTGGCATGGCTGTGTTCCCTCTGGAGGCTCCAGCAGAGAATCCATTTCCTTGCCTATTCCAGCATATAGAGGCTGCCTGCATTCCTTACCCCACAAACCTCTCCTCCCTCTACAAAACCAGCAGCATACCATCTTCAAATATCTCTCTGGCTCTGACCCACCTGCCTCCCTCTTTCTCTTATAAGGACCTGTGATTACACTGAGCCCACCTGGGAGATCCATGTTACTGTCCCCATCCAAGATCCTTAGCTTAATCATCTACGTGTAAAACCCTTTTTGCCATGTACTGTGACATATCCCTAGATTCTGGGAGATAGGTCATAGATATATTTTGGTGAGAGGATATTATTGTTCCCAGCACTCTTAGTTTTTTAAATTCTACTTACACAGTTTCAGAATTTAGCAAATGTGAGGGGGAACCTGCCCTGTAATGTTAAAGCTGAGTTCTGCTCTCTCCTTTTTTACAGGGATCTTGGTCCTTCAAGTCTCCAGTTTTATCTCTCTGGCCCTGCAATTTTATCTCTCTAGTCCAGCTGGCTTATTTTCCCTCTCTAGTCCAGCTGGTTTATTTTTCCCGTACCTGGACAAAACCCATATCTCAGCCTCTAGCTGTGTGCCCAGAGTTAGCAAACACCCCGGAGAACTCCAGTGCAGAATATCCGTTTACCTCTTAGCGGTTCACCTCTGTGGAATTTTGGCTCCCCCAGTCCTGTTTGCTTCAGCAACTCCGATTCATTTTATCCAGTTTTCCTGATTGATCTGGGAGGGCGTACTGAGTTGCTACAAACTGTTCCAACATATTATTTCTAAACCCTTTTGACACAACTTTACGTATATAAATATAGACAGCATTCTTTTTCCTATAGTTCGAGGGTTTTGGTATGACCCAGATATTTCAGATTTTTGTTGTTGTTATTAATCCTGATCCAAGGATATTTTCTCCATTGGTTTTTAGAGAGAGTGGAAGGGAAGGGGAGAGGCAGAGAGAGACACTGATGTAAGAGAGACACATCGATTGGTTGATTGGTTGATTGGTCACCTCCAGCTGCCAGCAACCTTATCTGTGAGTCAGGCCCTTTAGTTTACCTGGCATACTCCGCTGTACAAATAGGCTTTTCTGTTTGGAAGCACTGATCTAAAAGAATGTATCAAGGAAAAGGTTTGCTGCTGGCAGATACATGTTTCAGGTCCCATTGTATTGTTGGTAATTCTCCAGTCTTTCACTTTTTAGCATGGCTGCCCGCTGTTTCTGGGATGCTGACACTGACAACTACACTCAAGATGTTTTTATGAATGTAAGTCTGTTTGGGAACCTTTCCTTTCTTTCAAAGGACATGGGGGCATTCCAGAGGAAAGTACTTACCATTTATTGAGATGTGAGCACACTTTAATTTTAGACATTTGTCTCAGACTCCTTCTGGATGGGATGTCTTTACTGTCCTTTTTTTGTGTGTGTTACTAAACATAAAGCAGAAACCTAGTGTGCTGTTTATAGGCAAGGAGACTTATATGTGTGCAGATGACATAACTCTTCACAAGTTTGAATTTGCATACTGTTTAGTGCTAATAGTCAAATAGCACTTTGCTAAGCTGCAAAGAAGTTTGGATGTCAGGGATTCCATGAGCAAAGGTGACTTTTTCTTTCACTAATCAAAACTTTATCTTAAAGCTATTTCTCAAAACTAGCCAAAAATAAAGAGGAATTTTTCAAGAGTTTTCATTTAACATTGGAAAGTTATTGGCAGGAATGTTTTATAAATTTTAATGTTTAGTACTTGCTTCCTCTGTCCAAATGCTCCCAGGTTGTGAAATAGTAGGGTCAGAATTAAGTACAGTAGCGTAGAACAGAAACTGGGTTGAGTGAATTAGGAGAGAGGTTCCATTTCCAGCTCTGTAACTTCTAATTGAATGACTTTAGGTAAGTCATTGGACTTTTATCTGATTGTATCAGTAACATTAGGAAACTATTCTAGATTTTCCCAAGGGCTGGCTGTGGCTTGCCTAAGAATTATTTAAGGAACTTGTTTAACATACAGATGCTAGGGTCTTTCTCAACTAGATTCTAATCACATAAGCTTGGGGTTGGATCAGTGGATATGAATTTTTAAAAAATTTCCTACGTTTTCCTGGCCAGATAGCTCAGTTGGTTCGATCTCTGGTTGAGGTGCATTCAGGAAGCAATGGATCAATGTTTCTTTCTTACATTCATTCATATTCATTCTCTCTCTCTCTCTCTCTCTCTCTCTCTCTCTCTCTCTCTCTCTCTCTCTCTCTCCTTAATAAGCATGGCCTCAGGTGAGGATTAAAAAAAATCTTTAAAATCAATTAGTTTCTCACATGGTTATGCTTACTGCCAGATTTGGAAGCTGCTTTAGTAGTAGTAGATCTTAAGGTAACTTTTAGCTCTAAAACTCTATGATCCTACCAAAGTTTCATATTATGCTCAACTACAATAGGGATCAAGGGCTGAACAATGGGAAGTATTATGTAAATCTTTAATTATCAGCTCTCTGGGGGAAGATTTCAAGTTAAGGTGATGATTTTTCCTGCTTTTTGGAGTTAAACATTTATATTTTCCCAAGTTGCTATACAATGTAATTCATTCATCCAAAAGGTTATTCTGAACTTCTATTATGTGCCAATCTCTGTACTGAAGGTGCTAGGAATAAAAGGGTGAATAAGACAGGCATGGTTATTGCCTATAGAGAGCTTATAAACAGTGGGGGCCAGACAATATTCAAATTAACAAATATGTAGTATAAAACTTTAGTTATCAATATTGATATTTCCAGGATCAGATTTCAGAACACCGGGTTGGAGGGTGCGGTGTCTAAAAATCATTTAAAAAATATATTTTATTGATTTTTTACAGAGAAGAAGAGAGAGGGATAGAGAGTTAGAAATATTGATGAGAGAGAATCATCGATCAGCTGCCTCTTGCACCCTCCCTCCCCCCAACTGGGGATGTACCCGCAACCAAGGTATCATACATAACCTTGACCTGAATTGAACCTGGGACCTTTCAGTCCACAGGCCACGCTCTATCCATTGAGCCAAACCGGTTTCAGCTAAAAATCATTTTTGAGAGCCTGGTTTAGGTTGCTGAGTTAGTGTACTGTGTGTACCTTTAGTTCACTTGGTTGAGTGTTTAGGTATCATTTTCAGAGTTTAAAGTACTTTATTGTTTGGGGGAAGATCCCTGGAAGCACCAGTAGAGGATGAGGAAGTGAGAGGAGAGAAAAGCATATGCTTCTGAGTGGGTAATTACCCCGCAGCGTGGATAGCCTGGCTCAGTCCTGCCGGACAACTCTGGCGGCACTGTAGAGCAGCCAATCAAACCGGGAGCCCAGACCAGGGCCATGAACCTGTGGAACAGGTCCTCGACAAGATAAGTATATAAATTGAGTGTAATGGTTTGGAAACTCTTATAAGAATTTGACAATTTTATGTTCATTATATCTAATAATAAAATTTTTAGGCTGTATTTGTGTATTTCTTTTTTCATTTTGTTTTCCTAGTTGTTAATTTTCATTATATTTTACAAAAGTATCAATGCCTAAGGGATTGAAAATTAGAACAAAAACAAAAACAGGTCCTCACCCCAGATTGCACTCAACTCACAGTCATCCTACACAGGGAGCCAGGGAACTTGGCTAACCAAAGAATTTTGCTTTTGGTTAATAATTAGGTACTTGAGCAGATTTTTTTCTCATCACTGCCAGGCTGAAGGTAAGGATGGTAGGCCAGGAGTTGCTGAGGCAGGTGGAATTTCTATAAGAAATACCTAAAAAGTGTCTTTAAAAGTTTAACTGGGATCTGGAAAGCATTTTAGGATTCTGAGCTAAAAGATGGAAAAACGAATTTTCTAAATTAAGAACAAACATCTAGAGGCCATTTACCTTTATCCAGAATTTGACAAAGAGTTGTTATTTTTATTATGTATGATACTATAATACAGTTATTTGAGATGGGTAATATATTTACTCCAAGAAATTACAATAGTTTCATATATTATTTCTTTGATAAGTCAGAAAAAAATGGGAATACTTATTTTATGAATGTGTATTACATAAAGTTCATTCATTTTAATTTTATTTCTACATTCAGAAAATCTAACTCTTTACTCATCCTAACATTCTGAATTTGTGTGTGTTTTCTGTTTTGTTTGTTTTGTAGGACAGTTTATTCTGTGTTGCAGCAGCATTTGGCTGTTTCTACTATTGAAAATTTGAAAACTGGGAAAAGGTATGACTATGAAGAAATATGAACTTTTTTACATTGTTAAATATTTTGACAAAATAAAAATAACTTGGCAGTTTGGCAACTGAGTCTGTTGAGTTTTTAAAAAAAAATATGTTTTATTGATTTTTTACAGAGAGGAAGAGAGAAGGATAGAGAGTTAGAAACATCAATGAAAGAGAATCATCGATCAGCTGCCTCCTGCACGCCCCCTACTGGGGATGTGTCCGCAACCAAGGTACATGCCTTTGTATGGAATCGAACCTGGGACCCTTCAGTCCGCAGGCTGACACTCTGTCCACTGAGCCAAACTGGTTTTGGCGTCTGTTGAGTTTTAGGACTTACAGTTAATGTTTTGATTTTGTTGTGTTCTAACTACATTTGTAAAGTAGAGAAAAATGTAGGGGAAAATCCATAATTAAATTATTCTACATAACTATTAATATTTGGTACATTTTCTTTTTAAAATATATTTTATTAATTTTTTACAGAGAGGAAGGGAGAGGGACAGAGTCAGAAACATTGATGAGAGAGAAACATCGAACAGCTGCCTCCTGCACACCCCCCACCGGGGATGTGCCTGCAATCAAAGTACATGCTCTTGACCGGAATCGAACCTGGGACCCTTCAGTCCGCAGGCCGCCGCTCTATCCACTGAACCAAACTGGTTCTGGCATGGTATATTTTCTACTAATGTTTTTTTTTTTTTTTAATTTGGTGTTTATTAAAAAAAAAAATCATAGTTTTGTAACTGGATTTTTTACTACTCATAATGTCACATGTAATTTTTGTCATTTTATTTGCATTATGATTTTCATAAGCATAATTTAATAGTTGCATTTATTCCATTAGGTTATACCATTGGTTATTTTTGCTATGTCCTTACTGAAGGACTGATTATTTCTACTTTTTTACTATTATAAATAACTCTGAGGTGAATTTACTTACAAAGTTTTTTCCCAACATTTTGAATTTTTTTAAATATATTTTTTATTGATTTTATACAGAGAAGAAGAGAGAGAGATAGTTAGAAACATCGATGAGAGAGAGTCATCAATCAGCTGCCTCTTGCACACCCCCTACTGGGGATATGCCCGCAACCAAGGTACATGCCCTTGACCGGAATCGAACCCAGAACCCATCAGTCCCCAAGCCGATGCTCTATCTATTGAGCCAAACTGGTCCCAGCACATTTTGAATTTTTAAAAAAATCTCTCTGTTTTTTCTCAGCTCTTTCCACCCTACAGCTTACACAGCTCATTAGCTTAAACATGCATTTGTTTTTTCCAGGGTTTTTCCAGTGTCAGAGACTTTCTGACAGGGTCTGAGAGTTTCCAAGCTGTGTATGAAATTAGCCCTCCCTTAAAATTCTCCAAAATTTTGTTGGTTACTATTCCAACTTCCGTTATCTTTGTAGTGATCTTCTCTGTAGAGTCCCTAGTGTCTTCTCCAGCGAGCTGTCCTTACTTGGACCATTGTAGTCTGTGAGTTCACAAGGAGAAAATTCTGAGAGTGAGAGAGACAACAGTTAGCCTGTTAATAGTGTGGACCAGCTGACAAAAGGCTGCTCATATTCATGTCTGTTGGAACTTCAGATGAATTTCCAGGTGATTACTTATGCAATTACTCAAAAGAATTAACCTTCCAACTTCTTGCTTGTGCATGAACTTTCTGGACTGTTGCCCACTAGTCCAAAGGAGCGGACACTTCTTTGTGGGCTCTGCGCCTATTCCAGAGCTGGCGCTACTTTACCTTTGCCCACCCTCTTTGCCTGTAGCTATTGCATTCTTTCAAACAGCTTAAATCTTTCTCCCACGCCTCCACCCCCCAGTTGGTGAATAAAAAACAACTGCAACCTGGCCCACGTGGTTCGGTGGTTGAGTGTCTTACTCATGAACCTGGAGGTCATAGTTCGATTCCCAGTCAGGGCACATGCCCAGGGTTTCGGCCTTGATCCCCAGTAGTGGGGCGTGCAGGAGGCAGCTGATCAGTGTTTCTCTCTCATCACTGATGTTTCTCTCTCTTTTTCCCCCTCTCTCTGGAATCAATAAAAAACATTTAAAAACAAAAAACAAAAATGATTGCAAACTCCATGATGACAGAAATGTATGTTGCTGGTGGTTTGGATTTCATGCCCCAAGACTAGTCTTCTTTTTGACTAAATAAAATCTTTTTCAAAAAACAAGAACAGCCAAAACCGGTTTGGCTCAGTGGGTCCCGGGTTCGATTCCAGTCAAGGGCATGTACCTTGGTTGCAGGCATATCCCCAGTAGGGGGTGTACAAGAGGCAGCTGATCGATGACTCTCTCTCATCGATGTTTCTAACTCTCTCTCTCTCTTCCTCTCTGTAAAAAATCAATAAAATATATTAAAAACAAAAAAAAGAACAACAATTCATTTAAGTCCTTGTTTAACAGAATCTTGTTCAAATAACTGTTTGAAATGCCAAAGAGAAAGGGCTGCAATTTAAACCCCCTTTCTCCCTGGAGGCTTCTCAGCAGATGTGGAAGTTTACTTACCTCTTCCTTCTGAGCCACTTTTAAGCATGTAAAAAATAAAAAAGAAGAAACTGTAATAAAAAGTTGTTTTATATATTTCCCCCATAACATCGGGTATCTCCTTGCCTCACCCACATCTATAGAACCTAAAGGGGCCCACTCAAAGGTTCATTCCAGCAAAGAACACCCTGCCATGTGATTTTCGCCCAGTGGTCTCCCTTAAATCTTCTTATTGGCCAAACCAGTCAATCCAAACCAGTAGACTTTTTTATGAGTTTATTTGAGCTAAACCCACAGCATATGTTGGGAAGCAAGATCTCAAATGCTATTCACAGTAACAGTTTGCAGCTTTTATGCCTTTGAGATTATGGAGGGAACAGAAGGAAGAGCACATGGAGGTGGAGAAAAGCAAGCTGGGGGTCCAATTACAGGATAAACTCTTGGGGGTGGTCATGTTTTAGTAGGGGTCTGAGGTGTGTTAAGCCTTAGATGCCCAGAAACAAAGGACAGGACCTGCTATAGCTTATTACTAAAAATGTCCTATGTCTGGGGATGACTACCCAGGAATTTATGAATAGATCACCCTGTGAGGTTATTGTCCATGAAACCTCCTTTTCTTCCACTAGCCCTGTTAGGTCCTATGGGTTTGGGGATGGGGGGGGGGGGGGAAGGACAGAAATAACAGGGTTCAGCCCTGACCTGTTTGGCTTATTAGATAAGAGCGTGGGCCTGCAGATTGAAAGGTCCCAGGTTCGATTCTGGTTCTGGTCAAGGCATGTACCTTGGTTGCAGGCACATCCACAGTGGGGGGCATGCAGATTCTCATCCATATTCTTTTTTTTTTCCTTTTTTAATATATTTTATTGATTTTGTACAGAGAGGAAGGGAGAGAGATAGAGAATTAGAAAGATCGATGAGAGAGTCATCATGGATCAGCTGCCTCTTGCACACCCCCTACTGGGTATATGCCCGCAACGAAGGTACATGCCCTTGACCGGAATCGAACCCGGGACCTTTCAGTCCCCAAGCCGAAGCTCTGGCCATTGAGCCAAACCGATTTCGGCGATGTTTCTAACTCTCTCCCTTCCTCTCTGTAAAACAAATCAATAAAATATATTTTTTAAAAAGGGAAGAACAGGGTTCGGTGTGTTCATATGTGAGTGCTCAGTGCTCAGGGAGAAGATTTGGAGCCGGCCACAGGCTTTCGCAGGACTCGGTGGGCGGACCCCGGTTCTCCGTAGCAGCCGGCGGGGAAGCCGGGCGGCCGGGCGGGGCTTCGGCGGAAGGCGCCGGCCATCTGCCCGGTGAACGCCCTGGAGCGAGTGTGTGGCACCCCGCGCCCGGCGCCGCGGACAGAGGGCGTGGCCGGGACGGCCCGCGGGAGGGAGCTCGGGGCTGCGGGGCGGGCGCCGCGCCGGGACGGGCTGCCGGGAGCCGCGTGATGCTCCCCCGCGCGTCTCCTGACCGGAGGCCGCCGCCCTGCCCTCCGCCGTCCCGCGCCGACCCTGACCCTCCGCCAACTCACCGTCCGCCCGGCGTTTCCCGTCGGTCCCTCCGCCCGGGGGCCTCCTCGGAGGCGGAACCAGTGCGTCCGGGGTCGGGGTTTTTTCAGGGAAAAGCGGCGTCCGGATTGACAAGTGGGCGGGACTTCCGGCCGGCGGTTCCGTCAGGTGCCTTTCCCGGGCGTCTCCCCGCACCACCTCCTCAACTTCCCTCGTCCGAGAGGCTGCGCCCGGGAGGACCCGGCGGGACGGGGTCGCGGGGACGAGAGCTGCAGGTGGGGACCGGGGCGCGCGCCCGCGCGGCGCTGTGTGAGGGCAGAGCCTGTGGGGCCGGGGCCGCGGGAGCGGAGGGGAGCGGGCAGTGACAGGAGGGCGGTGCGCGGCCGCGGCTGGAGGCTGCGGTGACTGACCCGGGGCAGTGACAGCGAGGGCGCCGCGGCCGGGAGGGCGCCGCCCGCGAGGGGACCCCGGCCGCAGCGCCACGGCGCGGAGGCTGCGAGGGCACCGGGACCCCCGTGTGCGGCGGGGGCTGCGCCGGGGGGCCGGTCCTGGACGGGGAGACCTGACCGGTGGATGGACGGGGGCGGTACGCTGGGGGGAGCACGAAGCAGCGGCTGTGGAGAGAGGCTGACGGAGGAGCAGGAACTTTGGGGGGCCGACTTGGAGAAGAGAGGGGCCCCTGACGGGACGGTCACCCTGCGGGGCTGTGTGCGGGTGCGGCTGCGTGGCCGTGGCCGTGGCCGTGGCCGAGCGGAGAAGGTCTTGGGTGGAAAGGACTCCGGCCAGGCACTTACCTGCCGCCCCGAGTTGAACTCTGCGGACCCGCTCGCGGCCGGGAACGCCCTCCGCCCCGGAGCCAGCGCAGTGACCGGGAGTCCGGACTAGAGGAGTAGCCCGATTCTCCCTCCGTGCGCGGGATGTCGGGACTAGAGGAATGCTCCCTAGACGAGGGGTTCCAGCCTGTGATGGAGTTGAGAAATCCATT